ATTTTAAGTTAATTTAGGCGTCAATAAACTGTTTAAGAGGAGTGATCACAGCGCTCTGTGTCATCAGAGCGATGTGTCTGTCTCCCTGCCAGCTTCCAGGTTTGATTAATACTTTGTAATAAATACATGAATAAAGCACAAACATGCTCAGTTTTGCTCCCGCTCTATTTTTAAATACGCAGTAGAGGTATTTAAATGTAGTAGAGGATATGTACCTGTATATAAAAACGCGCCCTATAGTCCGGTGCGCCTTATGTGTGTGTTAAACACAGTAAAGGCACACATAACTGAGACTGCGCCTTTTAGTACGGAGTGCCTTATGGTCGTGAAAATACGGTATTTACAATTGACAATATAATTTTTCTTCTCATACTTTTTCAAAATTCATATTCAGAAAATAAGTAAAGCAAATTGGCTTTGCTTGCCATCATAGGACCCAGTCTGCTTGTTTGGTTTAGGGAACAAATCAGTTTTCTTATTATCAAAACGAATAATTTAAAATCCCTGTAGCTCTATAAACCGATACAGGGGACCACCACTTTAGAGCCCGGTTAATGTTTTAGTAGACAGACGAAGGTTTGTTTAGCTTATATGAGACTAAACAGGTATGTTCAGTCATAAAATGATCTCAATATGTCCGGCCAAGTTTTTGCTTCCTCTCCTTCACAGGTTCTGAATAACATCCGAAACAACTGCCTCCCACCTTAAACACTTCCTGTGGGTGCCAGCACACGCTGACTCCCGGCGAGCGAAGCCTCAGAACGGCCGTTTCATTTCCGTCCAGGTCCCACAGCCTGCCGACACAAACAACACGCAGGAAATTAACACAATTAAAATACTTTACCTAAAATATCTGTTGTTTGACCTACAAATGAATGGAGGAAAACATGTCTGTGTGAGAGTTGATCAAATACACGACCTTAATCTCTAATTAGTGATGTCGGAGACTAATTCTTGTGGACATGTGAACCGCTTCTGGTCTGAAATCTGCAAAAAACGAATCTGTGCTTCCTCCTAATTAACATCTAAATATAGCCTGAAAATAGGAACTGGGCTTATGTGCTTATGTAATGAAAGAATTCGCCTTCCAACGCTCTTCATTGACAAACATCCTCAACTCTTGCTGATATAATCTCAAATAATCCTTTATTCACAAACAACTCGCCCAATTATCCCCCTTGCAGAGTCAACTTCACTTTTTAGAGCTTTAGGATTTCACAATGCAGCTTTAATGGATCACATTCAAGGTTACGTTGCCCCTAATCCATCAAACCTCTTTTGTTTTTATTATGCGTGATGATGATGTACACAGTATTCCCGTTTTTCCAGAGAAAAGGAGCTCTTTTTTCCCCCCTCTTGAACGTGAGGAAAGGCAGACTCCCTTGACAGATGGAGACGTCAGCCTCACGTTACACCGAGCTACGACAGCCGGAGCCGCGCTACGCTTCATCCGTGCGGCAGCCGCTGTTTGGGTGTGGGCGGCTCGCCTACGTCAGACAGAAGACGCTGAGCAGGATCAAGTGTCGGCTGAAACTAAAACAGAAAGCACAGCTTGACCTCTGTTCATTAGGGCAGCTGTCGTTCCTCGAAATCTGGATTTATGCTCAGCTGCGTCCAAGGAGTTGCAGGACTAGAAGAAAAAAGCAGGAAGTCTTTGAGGAAATAAAAACACGAGCTGTTGAGCAGCAGAGCAAACCATCTAAATGTAAAGTGGACAGTAAACGTATCTTAACTCCTTCAACTTCTCCCTGCTTTACCAAGTTATGAGTTTTTTTGATAATAGAAGTGGAAGAAAAAAACCCTTTTAATACAACACCCCTGTTCACAAAAAGCCGAGGCGTTATTTTCTCAGTCCAACATGCAAACACAAATCAACCTGGACTTAGCATCGCTATGGCAAAAACATGGTGGTGCCAGCATTATGCATAACAGTTGGGAAGAAGCTGGTGGGAAGGTGGGTAGAGCTCAAAATCTTGGGAAAAGACCAACAGTAAATCATTCACCTTCTAGGAGGACGACAAGGCTAAACATAGACCCACTCTCAAACAGAGGAGTTTAGATCAAAGACGGCCAAATTAAAGTCCAGATATTAATCAAATCTGCAGAAGAGTTTCTGTGAGTTGTTAAAGTTACAACTAGGGGTGTAAATAATAATCGTTTTGTACCGATGCATCGATCCCACAGCCGACGATCCGATGCATCGATACGTCCGCAAGAGAATCGATTCATGTTTTGTTTTTTCCTCCGGTCTATTTTTATCCATTTGCTCCTGGGCGTAATTCTCCCTCCCGTGCTGCGGTGGCGCTAAACCTATTTTGCCCTCCTACCTCGCTTCCTGGTTATACTCTTACAGCAGTGTGTTGCAGTGAGCTTGACACAGACATTTTTAAATTATGCTCAACATTGAAGCGTGGTCTGTGCTACATGCTGTGGGTTTAGATACGGCCGAGGCGGAGAGGAAGTGGGGGCGAGTTTAGTCCGACGACGGAGGGACATGAGGGCCAAAAAGAGCGGAGATCCAGGTGGAAAAAGGGTCCCAGCGTTCTCGCGCACCTCGCTCTTCTAGCGGGTCAAACTTCACAAGTTGTTTTCCGCAATTTCAGTCATAAAAACAAAACAAGCCGTCCTCCTGTCTGCGGCACTGTCTGCCGTCAGCTACAATTTGGGAGAGGTGCAGCGGAGCGTCTGTGGAGGGGGCCGGACGTCTGGAGCCGAGGTATTGCATTGCACTCATTGCACTGATTATGTGCAGTATTTTTTGATGCTACTTTTCTACTTCTGTTATTTGCTGTTGTTTCAAAAAAAAAAATGCATAACGATATTACAGCTTTCATTGATTTATTTCAAACTTGAAAAAAAAAAAAAAAAAAAATTAACTGATTAATCGAATTGAATCATATTGGGATGTATTCTTGAGTACCGAAAAAAAAAAATCGAATCGTTGGGTCAGGAAATCGATACTGAATCGGATCGCCATGATGGAAGTGATTTACACCCCTAGTTACAACCCAAGAGTCCTTAGGTAAGATGCAATTACAAGAAATACCTTTTATTTCTTAAAACAGCAAAATTTGAAAAGCAGCAAAACATTCTTTCCACTTTAATTCAAGACTTTGTGTTGGTCTCTATAAACAGATCCAAAGAAAACAAGTTATAGTTTGTGGTAAGCATGAAAAGAGTGAGCAAGTGTAAGAGGCACTCATGCAGAACGAGAGAGCGGACCTTCCCCGTTGTTTCCTTTCGAAACTCCTCGCTCCCTGACCGTTGCGAAGAAGAAACTCACTAGACCACATGAGGAAAACAGTAACTACACCCTGTTCTTGCAGACCACTTGCCAAAGAGAAACCAGTTGCACGCAATACCACCAGCAGCCAAACTGTGGTCAACCCCTCTGCTCTGCAAATGGAGAGCAGCGGCCACAAAACACAAAAACACGATTGCAGGAAGAGGTGAAAGACGTAAGGCAACAGCACTCTGCTTCCATCTACCACAGAGTTGAAAAGGACAGCCGAGATCCTCTATTGTCTAATTGAAGTGTGTGAGGAAAATCAGCCGGAGCCTGAGAGTTTATTCTCTGCTTCCAATAAATACAGAGTGGCTGTTGGTCCTCAGAAGGAAGGAAACAATTAAAAATGGCTATCGGGATGGATGTAAACAGGACGTTTCTGAACAAAATTTGTCCAGAACCAGGAAACACTAGATTAAATAGTAAATAAAACAACACGGAAAACAAAGCTGAAACAAAACAGTCCAAAGCAGTTATTTGAATACAAAGAAGAAGAAAAAAGTTTAAAGTGATATATTAACTAATGATAGATAATAAATATAGAATCCAGGTGGTGGTCCTATGGATGGGGAGTGAGATGCAGAGTTCCTTTCATGATGGAAAAACGGGCAGAATGGCGATATATAGATGACAAATAGATGGACTTTCACTCTCATCTTGGTCATTTATGCTATTTTAATCTTTAGACTGGTTTCATGTTAACCAACTTTCACACAATCGTGGACAGAGGAAGGAGTAAAAGAGGTACAGTTGGGAAATAATCCCGGAGTTTTGAGCCTATGTCACACCTTAAAGATTTAGCCAGCGTATCCCTGACAAACAGTCTGGTTAGTTGGATAAGTTATGGGTCAGTTTTGTAAAAGTTATGAGCAACCTAAAGCACGCTGGCAGACGTTGACATACGACGAGTACGTTGAGAAATTTTGCTCAAAAATGTATTTCCTGACCAGCATATGCCATACGTGGGCCATAAGTTACAGCCAAGTTATCTGATGGTTGACATACGTTAAATCTAATGCTACGTTCACACTGCAGGCCTTGATGCTCAATTCCGATTTTTTTGCGAAATGCGATTTTTTTTTATGTTGCCGTTCATATTTCCAAGTATATGCGACTGGCATGTGATCTCCTGTGTGAACTGCAGTCAAAGAACGCAAGTGTCCCGCATGCGCAGTAGAGGACGCAATGACGTCACAGGCCAGCTTGCTCTTTTTTTTCCAGAAGTAAACTTTGATGGTAGAGCCGGCATGCATCTAGCGGTCTTTTCCAACCATAAAAACTCAATCTTTTCAATATGGTTAAACATAAATACTGCTCTCCACATCATCATCCGCCATGGTGGTTGTTTTTCTTGCCGCTTCTGCGTAGCAAAACGCATTATAGTGACATTTGTCGGGTATTAATGACGTTCAGGTCGGATTAATCTACCCTGAACGCCCAAACACAGGTCGCATTTGAAAAGATGAGATTGGTATCGGATTCAGGACCACATAGCCAAGTGGCCTGGGTCGCATTGGAAAAAATCGGATCTGTGTTGTTCAGACAGCCATGGAAAGATCAGATACAGGTCGCATATGGGTCAAAAAAATCGGATTTGGGTCACTTCAGGCTGCAGCGTGAACGTAGCCTAAATTACTCATAAGTCGTGCCGTCTAGTTTATGAGTAACGAGTGCATAACTTTTTTTTTTTTTTTGAGTTCTTAAAGAACTAGTGGCTTGTTTCTTCTGACAGTAGGCAGACAGTAAAGAGGGTATGAGAGAGGGGGAGAGACATGCGGCAAAGGACCACAAATCGGATTCGAACCCGGGTTGGCCGCGTCGAGGACTAAGGCCTCCGTACATGGGTTGTGCGCACTAACCACTGTGCCACCTGCATGCCAATGTATATCAATGTATGTGACGTGTTCGAGACGACCACTGAAAGTGTTTCTAACTCCAAGCTACTGTATATTGGCATATAGGCAGCTTTTGATATAAAAGGGGGTTCAGAAGAGGAAACCGTCAGTTCTCCTCCAGACTTCATCCCCATCAAAGGGTGAGCCAGGAGGTGAGTGTGATGGATCCTCCCTGCGTTCATGCCCACCACCAACAATCTCCATAGCAGACATGACGCTGAATCTGCTGAGATTGCAAACCTTCTTTCTTTCTTTTTACTAGGGCTGTCAGTTTTAAAGCGTTATTAACGCGTTAACTGCTCTAGACTATAACGCCGGCATTTTTTTTAACGCACGTTAATTGTGCATCAAAACAAACGCACTGTTCGCTTTTGTTCCTAATTTTTCCGCATCGCTCGCTGTGCTGTTTGTTTTACCCTCTGCGCTTTCTGTAGCTTCAGGAACGCTAAGTTTTGGGAGAGTCAGCAGCATAACAGACCCGTGCTTTGAATGAGCAAAAATGGCCAGCAGACAAGGTATCATGAATCATAAGTTTAATTTTCAAGTTATCCCAGAAGGCTGTCTTGACAAAACCCGAGTCCTATGTCTATGTTGTCCAGAAGAAACAAGCGTCTCACTGGCTTAGTGCCGACAAGACAAATAAATAAATTAAGTCATGTGGACTGCGATGCTGCTGCACTTCCTGTGCCGAAGGAATATTAAAGCATTTTGAAAATGTTCTACATNTTCATGCCCACCACCAACAATCTCCATAGCAGACATGACGCTGAATCTGCTGAGATTGCAAACCTTCTTTCTTTCTTTTTACTAGGGCTGTCAGTTTTAAAGCGTTATTAACGCATTAACTGCTCTAGACTATAACGCCGACATTTTTTTTAACGCACGTTAATCGTGCATCAAAACAAACGCACTGTTCGCTTTTGTTCCTAATTTTTCCGCATCGCTCGCTGTGCTGTTTGTTTTACCCTCGGCGCTTTCTGTAGCTTCAGGAACGCTAAGTTTGCGTGAGAGTCCGCAGCGTAACAGACCCGTGCTTTGAATGAGCAAAAATGGCCAGCAGACAAGGTATCATGAATCATAAGTTTAATTTTCAAGTTATCCAAGAAGGCTGTCTTGACAAAACCCGAGTCCTATGTCTATGTTGTCCAGAAGAAACAAGCGTCTCACTGGCTTAGTGCCAACAAGACAAATAAATAAATTAAGTCATGTGGACTGCGATGCTGCTGCACTTCCTGTGCCGAAGGAATATTAAAGCATTTTGAAAATGTTCTACATGTTAAATCCTATGTTGTTGAAATGACTGCAAAGCCCAGTTATTGTAAATTCATTTGATTTATTTATTATTTTGTGAGCAACTTCATTTTATTTGAATTAAGTCTGAATTTCATAACGGAATGTGCACTTTATTAACAGTACATCTTTATTTTTGTCCTATGTTTGAGAAAAAACTTAAGTTTAAGGAGTACTTTGAAGTACTGTTTACTGTTCTGTAGTTTTGTAATTTTTTACAATTTTTGAATACTTATTGGCCAGAATTTAAACCAGGATATTTTTATTCTAGTTGTTTTTGAAAAATAATGTGCTTGAAAAATAATAATAAAAAAAACTTTTTGTATAAGCATGTTTTTTTTTACATTATTGCACATTTGCATTTTTTAAAATGCCCAAATAAAATAAAAAGATAAAATATGCGATTAATTTGCGATTAATCTTGAGTTAACTGTTGATATTATGCGATTAATCGCGAATAAAATTTTTAATAGTTTGACAACACTACTTTTTAGTGATCTTTTAAAAAAAATCTAATTATGTAGGCCGGGCGACTCAGAGCGCATCGCTACCCCCCTCAGGACACTGGCTTCATGGTCATTACACTGCCATGCTTTAAGTTTAAGTTAGGCTGTCGTTAGACATAAGCTCTGGGCTCATTATGAATACTCTATGTATACGCCCACAATTGAAAAAATACATAGAAAGTTCAGCATATGCCAGGGTTTTAGAAGATGGCTAAATCGTCAAGGTGTGACAGGGGCTTTATAGAGAAAGAAGGATCTGGAATTTTAAGGAATTTGTTTTGTTCCCCCCTCAAATAAGTTTTAAAAAATAAAGACCGAAGCCCTCACCTCTGGTGAATATTCATCAAACGAATATACAGGGAATGTTTTGAGAGTTCAAACAGAGAGAAGTTCTAATCAATCAAAAAACAAAAGCCACAGAGCTTCAGTAAATCACAAACCTCCAGCCTGAGAAAGAATGAGATAATATTACAGTTGTGATGTTTTTTTTCTTTAGCACACATGTAGACGGAGATAAGACTCTGGGATCTGGATAAAAACAAAAGAAAATCTCATTGCTGCAGGTGTGTTATCTGAGTTCAGCAGTGAACTCCATCAACTCCAAATCCTCCCAGTACCCTGCAGTGTGCCCTTCTGACCTCTAGGTGGCACATCTCCACAATACCTCCACCCTGCACTGTGTCCACAGCGCCCTGCTGTGCAGGTCAGACTACATCCACCCTCAGGAAGTGGAGTGTGGTTCCCCACCTAGATACTGCAGCGTCGGGTTGCACACTGACTACAGCAGAGTTCCCAGCGCTGCAGGAGATGGCGATGACAAAACTAAGCAAACTTATAGTGGAAAATCTCCCGCCAAAGCCAACAGACTGACGGAGAGGTCATGAACTGACACATGCCGACATAAACCTCCCTTCCCTTTCTGCACGACCACTTCCCTCCTCTATGATCGGGGTTCGTTTTGTGTGGGCTGACTGGAAGGTCGCTCCTCTGTTGTTAACCTGATCTATCGAAATGTTTCCGCCCCGGTCTTCCTCCCGCGTCCCGTATTTTCTCAACATGACAGAGTTTAAATCTTTCAGCAGATGGAGGGCTCTGCTGTTTTCTCTGGACATCCAGCTGAAGGAGGGGAAGCGGTTCAGGAGTTGGAAGAGGAGGAGGGATTTTAATTTAGTGCGATCTCAGACCAGGGCAATCTCACCACCAATCTGCTCAGATTATTTCAGAAAAATCCATTTGGAATTTTTCTTGCATTATTTTTCAAACTCTTATTTATATCTATTTAAAATAATCAAACTTTTTTAAGAGAAAGGAATTTGAGCAAACTGCCACCAAACTAAGTTTTTGAAAAAAGAAAATAAGAAAAGAAATTCACAATTCATAAACGAATGCTCCTCTTCTATAAAAGTAAAAAATAAATTAATAGTTTAGTGTCCAAATTCAAAGGTTCTGCTTTTTTTTTTAGCCTATTTGAAAGTTATAATAAAACAGTTCAGAGAGGATTTATGGCGGATGTCTTTAGAGTGGCCAGAAAGCAGGAAGTAATGAGGAACTAACCCTGCCTAAAAC